GTGTGTATATATCTACACATATTAAATATATATTAATCATAACTATTTATTCAAAATAATTCTCTTAATCTGCAAATCACTGAGCAGTGTTCATCAGACCACCATTAAAACATTGCAATAGGAAAGAATTTCTTGTTTAAAATCCACATGGAGATTTGAGGGTCGCCGCAAAATACCAGGGGTATACTAGGAAATTTTACACATATACTTACATACACAGCATTTAATATCGTTAACTAACACCATAACGAAAACTAACAGCGTATTGCTAAAGGGTGAGAGTCGTCTTTTTAATACTCGTAGTATACAGCATTAGAAAAGAATATTTTAAAATGTTATTATAATTTTTGATATTGTCAAATAATTAGTATGATAATTTCATAGAGAATTGGAATTAGAAATACTTAATATAACAAAAAGCTTCTTGCTTCTCTGTTTATCTCCTTTATTGAAAACTAGTAAAAACACAAATAGCTAAAAGCAAAATGTCATTCAACTTGAATTATAAATAAATCAATCAGCTTAAGATTATACTGCGATTATTTTTTTGCAATTTTTGCTTTGAATTGCAATAATGTATAATAAATTGAAATTGTCAAATTTCTTGTTGTATAACACAAGTATAAGATTATGCTCGTAAAATATAGATGTTATACTTTGAATTGATACAGAGTTTTTGATATAAAGTGAAATACTTCGATACACATCCACAAATATTGTAATTTTTTTTTTATTTTAAAATAGATGAAATTGATTATGATAAAAATCGTTTCCTTATTGCAATTTCTATGGTTTTAAGAGGTTTTTTCTGCTTTACGTAAAAAAAATAAATTCGCATAAATTAAAAAGAGAAACAAAAAATTATGTATGTATTTTTCTTTTTTTGCTAATTTAATGCTTACATAACATTTACTATTTACTGAATTTCCAACAAAACTGCCTTTTTTGTACAATATTGCTAAGTAATTTTTAATTTATAGCATAATTTTTAAATTTTTGGAAATTTATTTAAAAATTTTTTTAAGAGCTATGAAACTACTAGGATAAATTAAAATTCAATATATTCTTAAGTAAGAAGTAGAAGTGCATTGCTTTCAATAATCAGCTGTAATTTTGAAAAAATTGAAGTTAAATTGAATTAAATTACATAATAGTATTAATTTAAATTTATTAACTTAATTTATTAATAACAAAATTACCAAAATAATTTGTGCATTATTTTCAACCTCAAAATTATATGTGCGTAAAAACAAATCTCTATTCATTATTATAAGTATTTTTTTAAAATTCCTTTCAAGGTCTTTTCTTTTGAAAACCATAGTTCTAGAATATAAGATATTATTGGAATCGATTCGTAATCCTACATTAAATCGTAATTTCATATAACAAAAAGTGTGCAGTCATCCCAATACAATAATACAATAATTAATAAAATAATACAATAATTAGTGAAAAAGGTTTCCAACCATTCTAAAAAATCATATACATTAAAAAAAAATCTGTTATCTATTGCCTCAGAAATTCCCCGAAATATATTTAAAATAAAGATTTCAATTTAAATACCTCAAAGCATCATTAATATTTTTTCATTGTACTTTTTGTACTTTTAGAGAATTTCCTCTTTAACTGAATAATTCGTTAAAATTTGATTAAAAAGATTGCGAAATCAACAAAAAAGGTTTAATTGTTAGATTAAACCTTTTTTTAGAATGACAATTCTTCATTGCAAATTATTTTGTTACTTATTAACGTTACTTTTATTAAAGTTATTACTTTTATTAACGTCAATAAAAACAAAGTTGGATTAATAAAAACCAATGGTTTGTAATGTAGCACTTTTCTCTTCAACAAGTGAAAATACTGCTTTAAAAAAACAATCTATGTATACCTATTGCGCTATTAAAATTAATTTCATTCATATAAAAAACTATTTCAGGGATTGCATACATTTAGGATGATATATTAGATGACATATTAGAATTGCATGGCATATTAGAATTGCATGGCATATTAGAATTGCATACATTTAGGTAGTCTTTGAAATAGAGCAAAAATAAATTTAAAGCGGTGTTAACATAATGCTTGATTTTAAGGGTTAGTGGCGTGAGTTAACGAAAATAATTATATTTTTGATATGAAATTTACCGTTAGCTTTCTGCGTTTATAAAAATTTGAAAATTTTTACAAATATAAAATTTTATAGCATTTCGGAAATATATGGTGTTTCGAAAATATAAGGTGCCAAAAATCCAAATTTTACAAATTTCGAGAGGCGAAAACTTGAAAGGGAGTGGAGGTGAGAGAAAATTTTTTTCTAACGAAGTAAACAGACTTTCACAACCTGGGGTCTAAAAAAAACGAAATTAAAAATTAAAAAAAAAACGTATTTTGAATAACCGTAGATTTTAACGGCCATTTTGTTTTTGAAAAATTCAAGTATGCGGGAGAGAAGTTAATCATGTTTCTAGTTTTGCTACAATAATTACTTAAAAATGGCATTTTTCCGACTTCGGGAGGCTACAACTCTTAGCGAGAAGATACGTAAAACTTTTCTTTTACAGAAATAAGTTTCCATTAAAGGTCTATGTACATATTAAATTTCAGCTTTCTATTCTCAAGGGTGTAGAAATTTTGTAAACATTTCCACGGTCGGGCGCGCGGATAGAATGAAACTAATAAGCACTTTTTTTAAAAATTTTTTGAAAAACTGCTAAAAAAAGTAAATTCAACAATTTTTTTTTTTTGAGCAATTTAATAGTAATTGACAATTTTTTGTTAATTAAATAAAACATTCTTTGTTAATTAAATTAGAAATAATCATTAAGAGAAAAAAACGTCATACTACTATACCATTACAAATTCTAATCTAAGAAACTGGCTTTTCTAATTCTATAATTGTTTTTTTTTTGTATTTTCAGAAAAATTAAACGTTTTATCATTCTTTGTAAAATTTTATTAATTGCTTAATTTTTAATATTTAATTTTAGTCACAAGTACATGTACTCATCTAATTTATAAAGTTATATAACGTTTAAATACTCATTTTATTGCTTATAGGACTTATACATATGTACTATGTATGATGTATATGTGTGTGTATATTAAAATTTATTTTACCAATTTACATAAAAGAACTTTATTTTATTTAGTTACACTAATATATTTTTTCATTTTTATATTCTAATGAAAATTACACGCAAATTGAAATTATTTAATTCTTATGATTAAAGTAGTTTTTATTTAAATATTTTTAAAGGTAAAAGATTTTATTGATTTAATTTGGAAATTAGTGCTTTAATGGAATTGAAGATAATGGCTTGGTTTTAACAAAACCAAAAATTATGTAAATTCTTAAATGTTTCGGTATTATGCTTAAATTATACGGATTAATATTAATTAAACAGCAAATTTAATAACAATTAAATAAAATTTTCCAAGTAACTAATAAAAATACTAGTCACAAACTGTTTCAGAATAAATTACTTCCATATTTACATACACATTTGTCTAGTTTTTATTATCTTCAAGCTATGCTTCTCCTCTGGAAAACTTATTTTCTGTTATATTCTATAACAGTATTGGAAGGATTAAAAATCAATAAAGGAACCAATAAAAATCAAAGATTACTTAGGCCAATTAAATGAGTATCCAAAAAAACAAGATGTCAAAATTGAAAAATTTTTCATTTGCTTTCGATTTTTTTTTAACGCGAAAAGTTCAGACATCGTGTCTTATCTTTTACATGTGTTAAAATAATGGTTTTGTGAAAATTTTTTTTTAGGTAATTTTGGTCTACAATTTCGTTCTTTGTCAGTATTTAAAAGAGTGAAACGACAGATAGTTTTGACCAAGACACCAATTATTTTCAATAATATCATTCGTTTTTTGCAGAACAAACAGAAAATTTGTATATGGAGTCAACGTTTTCTTGGCCATCTCACTAAAATCCTTGGGCTACTCAAAACGCATACTCGTTATAAACATTCACAACAGCAAATTTTTTTCAGGAAAAGTATTAGTAGTGAAAATACGAAAGATGCTGCAATCGAAAGAAAATATTTCAGACTTCATGACTACCAATCTCAACAAATTTCTTGTACTGTACTTATCTATTAAATAAAAACCAACTAATCCAAAATATATTGCTTATTAAATACACAATATTGCTAATTAAATTAATTTTAACTAATTTTAAAAGTGTTGATCTTTGATTTATAAAATAACGTTACTTTTTCGGATTCGGAAAATACTAATATCGAGAAATTGCTGCTACATGTACTGCTTATACTAGTGCGATATGTACCATATGAACTGCCTACTTAGTGTACTACAAAAATAAATTTTCTTTTTGTAATAGAATCAATTTAAATAATTATAACAATTATGTAAATTTTTAAAGCCAACATGAAAATATCTAAATCACAAAAATTTTCGAATACTAATGCTTAATTATACACATTACAATTGTTACAACGAGCGTACATGAGACTTATGCTTGAAGCAGCAAAACCAAATCAAATCGTAGAATTTAAAATAAAATTTCAAAAGGATTTAAAGAGAAAAGCGCAAAAGTTACTTCAATTCTATCATTATTCGCTCAACTCTGCTCTTTAAATACTTGCACATCTTACAAGTTAATTTTTGCTGTTTTAATAATTTGAATACGATCGCCGATTGTTCATCAGCTTGTAAATAAAAAATTATGATAAATTATAAAATAATATAGATTATGCATTAACAACTAGCTACGTGAATATATTAAAATAAACTTTGTAACCTCATCTCAGATAACATTAAATTCAATTTCGTGTTCATATATAAGCATACAAATAGGTTGTAAGCTATTACTCGTACAATGCTAAAACTTAAACATCAAACTATTTACATGTAAATTTATTACTTCTTTTACACTTTAAGTATTTTAATATTACAATCTCGTGTTATTTTTCAATTTAAATTTTTGTTTCTTATTGTAATTGTTTTTTTTTCTTTCTTTCCAGATTTAACAAATGTTTCGTTAAATTTAAATAAAATTACGTATATACTTACTTACGTCTATCAAAAACAACTACCCGGAGCTTTCAATGAAATAATCGGAAACAATAACAAAAATATTGTTTAAAGTAGTGAAAGAGTGCAATTGCAGAACGGGTAATCGATGAAAGAAACAACAATAAAAGTATAGTAAAAATACGAATAAAAGGAGTAGGAAAAATAAAAAACGAAATAACAGCGATTGGTGTGCAACATGCATAATATTGGTAATGGAAGCAGCAATAACAGCAGCAATAACAACAGCAGTAACAATCGTTCACTTGTTTATGACGGTAAAATAGCTGGTCTGTATGATCTTGAAGAAACATTAGGTTCTGGCCATTTTGCCGTTGTAAAATTGGCACGCCATGTATTTACCGGTGAAAAAGTTGCCGTTAAAGTTATTGATAAGACAAAACTGGATGATGTATCCAGAGCACATTTATTTCAAGAAGTTAGGTAAGATTTCCTTATATGAATATTGAGAAGATATTTAAGATGACGAGCAAGTATACGAGCAGGTTGTACGTTTTTGTATAGAACACTTGAATTTCTAAACAATTTCATATAAAATGTTTCAAGTTTATAGCTACTAAAGTTTTCTATATAAATGTATGACTGGATCTTTTTTTGTTTTATTTGAATAGAAAATAAAAGAGATTAATTTTTTTTTATTTTTATAATTTCTAGGTGTATGAAATTAGTGCAGCATCCTAATGTGGTCAGGCTATATGAAGTAATTGATACACAAACCAAATTATATTTAATATTAGAATTAGGTGATGGTGGTGATCTCTATGATTATATAATGAAACATGAAGGTGGTCTATCAGAAAATTTAGCTAGAGAATATTTTAGACAAATTGTTAGAGCAATATCGTATTGTCACAAATTACATGTTGTACATAGGTAAGTCTAAAACAAATAAATTATATTTTATGTATGTATTTCGCATCAATTTTACGTCGTATTTCTAATCTGTTAGATTTCCTTTGAAAAAAACATAATTTATAAATTATACCCAAAACTTTACAATGCTTTTTATTAACTGCACATGTTTAAAGAGTAATAAAAATTACTTTCTTTCTGGATCAAAGTTGGTGAACAAGCAACACACAAATTAGTTTCTATACAAATTAATCCTATAACAGTATAGAATAATATGCAATAATCAGAGTAATCTTTGGAGTGTTACCATCGTGCATGTAGTTTGAATAATGCTATACATTAAAAAAATTAGGAAAGATATTCAAGTAAAAGTACCTGTACGTACATTCTTAAACATTCTTTCTCGAGAGACTTCGAAAATATTCCTAGACATCTAAGTAATTATAATTGATAAAAAACCTAGAGAAGTTAATTTTAACCCGTTATTGTCGGCAATTGTATTCTTACCGGTTTTATTATTTTACTGGTAAAAGCATGTGACAAGCTAAAGCTAAATGTTTGTTCAAAAATACTGTAGTCATTTGAACCGGTTCAAACTCTTGTTCCGGTATTCTCTTGTTCTGATATAATGTTATTTCAAAAACAGATAAAAAAATTTATTTTATATCATTTGGTTGTTATATAAATATTAATCAAAATTATCTTAATATTTTCTTTTAGGGATTTAAAACCTGAAAATGTGGTTTTCTTTGAAAAATTAGGTGTAGTTAAATTGACTGATTTTGGTTTTAGTAATAAATTTTGCCCAGGGCAAAAATTAGAAACATCTTGTGGTAGTTTAGCATATTCAGCACCAGAAATATTATTAGGTGATTCTTATGATGCTCCCGCTGTTGGTAAGTTTCAATAAATTGACAGTAAATATCAGCTTATTATGAGCTTGATTAATACATGTTTTTCTTTTATTTTAAGACATTTGGTCATTAGGTGTCATTCTGTATATGTTAGTATGTGGTCAACCGCCATTTGAAAAAGCCAATGATTCTGAAACATTAACAATGATTATGGATTGTAAATATACAATGCCAGCACATGTTTCACAAGGTTGCCGTAAATTAATTGCATCGATGCTAGTTAGAGCACCAGAAAAACGTGCAACATTAGAACAAATTGCCAAAGATTCATGGTTAATGGAAGGTTTAACAAATGATCGAGAACAACAACAATTACAACAACAAGAAATCACATCACAACCAGAATATTTACCTTTGATAAGTAGACAGCAAGTAAGCGAAGAAGATCATACCTTAATAGTACAACGTATGGTTAATGGAAATATTGCAACGAAAGAAGAAATCTTAGAGTAAATAACAAACAGAAAAAATATTGACTAAAAAATATACGTATATTATAAATACATTTTTTTTTTTAGAGCATTGGACCGGAATGAGTATAATCATATAACAGCAACATACTTTTTATTAGCTGAAAGAAAATTAAGACAAAAGAGGCAAGAACAAATGCAAAAACGACGACCTGATTTATCATTACCTGTTTCAGCTCAATCTAGGTAAGTATCAGTTGAACTTAATAAAAGTGCCCTTTAATCCTATATTGCATGAATATATTAGTATAACAAGTAATATTAATTTATAATTTGAACTGTATAAAGTGTCACACATTTTATTTTCTATAAAATTTCTCTAATATACTCACATTTTGATCCCATTTTACATATGTACTTGCTTATATTAAAAAATTCCAAATTTTTTCCAATATTCTTACATAAAACATTGTAATTTAGAATACCAAACGCAATTACTGATAAAAATTTCAATATTTTATTCGTGAAGCAATACAAAAAATTAAAGAAAAAATATTTATACGTACATATGTACAAATATTATGAATATTTAAAAATATTTCATACAATTACATACTTGCTTTTATGCTTTTAAACAGCCGGCAGTTAATTGGCGCTCCCTAATATAATATGTAAATCGAAAAAATACTTGAGCAAAAAATTATTTCATCATATCATATGTTTTCAATATGAGGAAGAAAATCAATATGAAAAGGAAAAAGCATATGAAAATAATAATTATGTACGATTTATCATAATATGATAAAAAATAATTCATTACAAATATTTACTAGCAATTATACAAAACATATGGTTTCATTAAATTGCTATAAAATCAACTATATAAAGCATTATTAAATTTACTTACGTTCTTACATGAATAATAGTGGATATGAAATTAAATGAGATTAATTTTCCTCGATAGATAAGGATTTCATGCATTTGCATTTAAAAGTTTGCATTTATCATCTACTCTGACTGTTTTGAACATTATTATTTACTATTAAACTCCGTGAGCTACACGAATACAACTAATATTAGCTTCTAAGTACAAATTTTCTTGAACTTTTTTGAATATTGGAAAAATTAAATCTTGAAATATTTAGACTTCCTGTTATTTTTTTTTTCATCAATCGACTAATTAAGCCTAAGACAAGTCACATAGTTACTGTAATTAGATAAATTAGATTATTAATATACAGATTGTAGATCATATAACTACATTTAATATAGTTTTGTTGAACTAAAATAAATTTTGAAAATTTTCCAAATTAATTTCACGTCACATTTTCTAAATTACTAAAATTACATTTTTTTATTGTTTTGTCTTATACTTAACTGTATTTTGTTTTATTTTGTTTTTTTTTAATCTATTACTAACCTATTTTAATTTGTTTTTTATTTTGTTTTTCCATTTTTTTATGTAATTTTTGTTTTGCGCTAAAATAATTATTATATTCGCCAAAAAAACATATAATATTTTTGATCTGTATTGATTGAGAAAAGTTCTAATATACTAGATAATGTAGTAAGTTCGGTATGGTACTGCATGATTTATCTTTCAGGCAAATTAATACGATGGAACTGTTGTGCAAATAAAATATAATGAAATTCATATAAATAAAACTAAAGCAGTATATAATATATTCAAAAATAAATAATACTTTCTTACTTAGCCAATGTAATCAATCATGTTAATTTAGTTTTGTAAATAGATTTTTTGTTTTTAATTTAAATTTTAAGTTTATAATTTCAAATTTGTTTTATGGATTTTTTAATGGAAACTATAAGTTTTAGGAATTATATTAGAGTTATACATATACATATAAAATTTCTTTTGTTTTTTTTTTGTTTTATGTAATATTTTTAATATTTTTTTCAAATAACTAGTACATAATTAAATATTTTACAATTTAATTTTACCTTTACATAATAACTTATATTTTTTGAAAAAGCATACATACATACATATATAATATAAATTACTAATTTATATAATAAAAAAAATTAAACATATTAATTTTTTAATAATATTATAAAAACTTACAATTGTAATTTTAAATAAAATGAATAAAAAATATTCTGTTTTTTGTTCAATTTATTTTATTTTTATTCACAATACAAAAAAATAATAAATTAAGAAACTTAAGGTAAGTAGAAAGACAAAACTTCCCCATAGAGCACTTATCAGAGATAGACATCGCATTTGTTAATATTTGTAATAAAAGATTTATTCTAAAATTCAAATATAAAATTTTATTGAAGCATGGTATTAAGTAGCTTAAAGAAAAGTTTTTTGCAAATTTTTCTATTTAATTATTACTTTTACTAATGTTTTGTTTTGTAAATTTAAGTTGTAGTTCAAAAAAAATATGCTCTCCCAGTATAAATCAAACATAAAATAGACTGCCAATATAAATCAAACTTAATTACAATAACACCATGTTTTAATAAAAAATAACAATCCTTGGGGCGATTAATATGTGAATTAACCTTTTGTGGCTGAAAACCACTTTATTATCATGAACAGAATATGTATAGTAAATTTTTATATGCATACATATTGTATTTTTCCCATCTAATTAATGAAATATTTACAAGCCTCATTATGTATATATGAGATAAGAGTTTAAAAATTTTGAGAATTTATATAATGCCACATATTAAATGACGACAATAAACAACGAACAAAAACATACTTGAAACAAATTTTAGAAAATATATAATTGACTAAGGACTAGATCAATTATTTTTTATAAAATAGTTTAAAAACTTAATTGCATGGTTATTTATGGCTTAATTTAATTTTCAATTGTGTTTTAAAGGTACTAGAAAATACCATATAATTTCCTTAAATTTATTTGTTACATATAACTGTACTTTATTCCTTACTTTAAAATTTAAAGGTTAAGTGGGTACTAAATACAAATAATAAATCATTCAGTGTTAAAGAAACTGTAAAACTATAAAAAAATAAAACAAATTAACTATTAAAAAACTATAAGAAAATAACTTAATCTTAAAAATTCGATTTAATTGCAGACTATCTCCAAGATCTCGAATACAAGGTATAAAAGATAAACAAGCTGCAATTGATGCTAACAATCAACTTCTAGTTCCAACAAGTAGCCAAATCTCAGCACCGCGTACCCCTGGAGCGGAAACACATTCGGTATATACAACATTACTTCACTATAATATTTGTAATAAATCCGAATTTCATTTTTATATTAGGGTGGCCGGACCCGAAAATGTTCAATAGTACAAGAGGAAGAAGACGACGAAGATGAAATACCAAATTGCAACAAACATAATGAACTATTAGCGGCACCATTAAATCGACGAGGCTCTCGTTCAGAAGGTCGTATTAATTTGGCTGTGCAAGACAAAGTTTCTAATGTAGTTAATAGTGGTAACACTGGATCAGATAGATTAACCAATACTCATCATACAAATGTTACGAGTTTAATGCAAAAAGAAATGAAACCCGTTGTTGGAATCTCATCTCCTGCGCGTGGTATTGAAAACATAAGTGGATTAAAATATGTTAAACGCACCAATGCTGAAAATATGAGAATGAGACTAGGCAAACCAAGAGTAACACATCAAATACCACAAATTATTCAATCCGGTATAGGTGAAGAAATTACGACAGAATTAGAGAAAAATATGAAACCTAATGATCAGGAAGGAAAATCGTGTCAGCAATTTCGATCAAGTTCATTGGACCAACAAATTACCAAACCAATCGTTGACTGTGAAACCAAATTTTTAGTAGATTCATCGACAATAACTATACCGATAACATCAAGTAATGAAAATGAAGCACTAGTAAATGCAATACCAAAATATAAAACAATGCCATCACCGACTAGAGCTGGTATTTTAGGTTCATGTTCCAGACCACTAAATGAAATTTTTGAAGAAGGTGTTCTTATTTTGATATTAAAAATATTCGAAAATATGAATATATAAAATCTTCTTGAATTTTTAGGTACTGATATTGGCTCGTCAGACACATCTGCAACAACTACACCTCGACCGATAATTAGAGCTCATTTTACTGGAACGAATCGTGGCAGTGCTGGTACTTCTACTACAGTTCACCAGCACCATCACCGTCGAACAAAATTCAACAAAACACGAACCCCTTCCTGTTCTAGTTCAGATGCTTCTGATGATGATTCAGAGTCAAGAAAAAAGCGCGCCCATAAAATGGTGGGTGATGTTGCGTCGAAGCCATTCCAAGTACAAAGAAGGGATTCCCATGACGATTCAAGTGACTCACAAGATCCAGGAACAACAGGTGCTACAAGAAATACTTCATTAACGACAACTACGCTCATTTATACTACAAATAATGATAATAATCACAAAACAAACTCTGGTTCAGGAAGTGCCCGAGGATCTGATACTCATAATAGCACTACCAGATCTAATCATGATTCATTAGCAGTAACGACAAAATCTAATACCAAAGATACAAAATGCCAAATTGAACATAATTTTGATAATGAAAATGGAATAAGTAATTGTGCAAATTGCATGCAGCAGAAGACTGATCCCAATACATTATCGTCGTCTTCATATAGAAGACATCGTAATGGGCGAAGAAGAGCTGGTGAAACTCGCTTGCGGGAAAGTCAATCGTTAAATAGAATCACAGAGGTCCAAGAATCTGAATTACCAGCTATAAATACAGGAATCATAACAAATTCATCAAATCATAATAGTAGCAATTTAGACTTACAGGGTAGCCGCGATACTATCGATGGTAGTTATTTAGAATATCGTCGTGAATCGATAGCTGAAGGCGACGAAAATATTGTGTTATCATCGTCAGAACATAACAATTTAGAAGAACAATCCGAAAAAGAAATACAATCAGTTGTCAGCAAAAATATAAAAAAGACACCAGTTGTTACTGCTAAAGCAGCTGTTGAAATCAATAGTAAACCCAAAGGTTTTAGCGCACGTTTGTTTCATGGTTTTATAAGAAATAAAAATTCATCATCAGCTCAAAATTCAACCACAGTAATACAGGGTAGCAATAATAACGAACAAAATTTTATTGATAATAACAAATCTAATTTAATACAACAACAACCACAAATAACACAAAATAATCAAATAATTCCGGATCCACATTCAGCTGATGACGTCGATATGGTATTGGGTGTAATTCGGGATACATCAACAAATCCAAAAGGTTCTTCTGCAACAAAAAAATTAAAAATGTTGGGAAAATATTTTCAAGTGAGTCTTCTATTAACAATTGTTAAATTAACATTAGGGACAGAAAAACGAAGACGATAATATTTAAAAATTATTAAAACACAACTAAATCTCTAAATACACTAACATAAAACATTTAAATCATTAAAATAACATATGTACACAAAATGGCTATATTTTATAATTATATAATCATTACCACACTATTAATACTAATTTTTAATTAAATAATAGTTTTAATGCTTTTATACAAAATTAAATTTAGTTTGAATATGGTTCGTCAAAGCAGAAAAAAATCATCATCAATCTATGATTTTTGTTGTTAGAGAAAATTTGTATTTGAAAATTTTAAGTAAATCTATCTTTAAAAATGTAGAATATTTATATTTTATAATAACTTTTAAAGGTTAAAGCGTGATTAAATAGAAAATATTAACAATTTAATTTTGTAGCAAATTTATCAATATTTAGACGGCATATATTACATATGTACATTTTAGTTTTGGCAATATTCAATTAATTTATTTTTAATTAACTTAAACATTAATTCGAAATGCTCATTAACTTTCTAAATTTTTCATACATTGGATTTAATTTAATTAAACAATTTCAAATCCAATTTACTTTATTTTTGAAGCAGACATGTACGAAAATTCTAACTTAAGAAGATAATTGTATTCGTTTTTGAAATTTTAAAATATTTTTTATGAGCATTAATTCAAATTTAATTCATATTTTGAAATTAACTCAAAATTCATGAAGTTGAATATGCCTTATAAATATTCTGTGAATATAGTTTAAGAACATTTTATATATTATTGAAAACTATATAATTAAATAACCAAATACTATAAATATTAATCTATTTAATTTTATTACATTAAATATTATCTTTCTTTTTTATTTTCTATTTACATTTTTAATAATATTTATTATTTCATTTTTTTTTTTAATTTTTCTTTTTGTGTTTTTGTTTTTTTCATTCTAATATAGGTGATTTGTGCTATCCACAACAATAAATATTAGAAAAATAAATTAAAGTTAAAAAGCAATTAAAGGTTTCCAAAGAATCAAACTAAATTAATATAACAATATACTTATATAAAATTTTTTCCTAAATAAATGAGTTGAAAAACTATTCCCAATAAGATAAATCGTGTGATTAAGAAACATAAATTGGTAAAAAAATATACCAATAATATTTCTTTATTCATAATCTTATTAATTGATCCACTGTAAAATGTTGCACAAAAAACAATATAAAAACATATAAATATTTATATATATATAAATAATATATAAAATATATAAATACTATATATATATATATATATATAAACAAATCTTAAACGAAGGTAAATAAATTTAAAATTAATTTTTCTGTTTGTTTTTTTTTTTATACATATATTAATATTTAAATGAGTTCTTAACACATTGATGCACGCTGATATTAATTATTAAAATATATTAATTAAATACATAATATAAAATTAAATTTTATTGTATTATCTTTGTAATATTAACTATACGTATTAATTGTATTTAATTCGTTTCTTCATAATATTTTAATAACATTATTTAGTGCATATTTTAAATATAATCCTTAATATAAGGTGTCACTTACAATTATTGCAAACGGACTTAAGAAAATATATATATTATTTTTCTGTATGGAATACGATACCCTGAATTCATAGAGTTTTCAATAAAATATAGTATTTTCAACAATTTTGCAATGGAGTGAAGTATTATTTTACTACAAATAATTTCGATTGAATGAAAAATAGTTACGCAGATTCAGATCAAATGGTTTTTATTGTCTACTGCTATTAATTACTAATTAAAATACTATAATTCTTTTCATAATTTTTGGTATTCAAATTGGTTCCTTTAAAGAATTTCTAAAATAATTTAAAACATAAAGTATTCAAAGAAATTTTTAAAGTTTACATCTTTTACTCCTTTTTATTTAACTTCTTCGATTCCAATTCAAATATACCTTTTATTAAATATAATGTGGAATTTCTGTAAATAAATCTAAAAAATATATTCCATAAATAATCATTAATATATTTAGACAAGTACTTGAGCATGATATTGCATATGTTGTAAAAAAGAAGTCTCTATAACTAATATTTGAAATAAAAAGGTTTTACTTAATAGGTATTTGTTAAACAATCCCGTAGCTTTTTTTTTATGTAAATAAAATTTATAAGAGTAAACTTCATCCTTATTTAAAATATTAAATTTATTATTGGATATGCATTATGTATTAATATTATACATTAAAAGTTTTAATACGATCCCTTTTCCTCAACCTTAATGTTTTTAACCTTAATATAAGCCCACTGTTAACGTTATTTAAATGTTACTTGAAACCCAGTGCATAATAAATTATATGTATAATTAATCAAATGAATGTAATTGTTAAGTTGACAAAGTAAAAAATTTATTTTTAGTTCTACATAATGGTTAAATATGGTTCTACTTGCATTCTTTCGGTTTCGTATTCGTGATTTTTAAGGTTTTTAATATAGTTTTTAAAAATAATGTTCCTAATGTTACATTAAAATATATTATTTTTCTCATTTTCTGAAATGAATTTAAAAATATATTATGTACAAATTTTTGTTCATCACGCATTCACCATGAAAACAGCTTTTTTTCCTAATTTTATATTTTTAAAAAGTAAATCATTCAAAAAAATTTCAATATTGAAAATCCTTCAAAAATATTTTCGATAACAAAAAAAATTTAAGTTTTAAGTTATCACTTTAAAAGGTATTCCTTGGTGTTATTATAACTAATATTAAATATTAAATGATAAAAAAATTTCATCAAATTGTAAAACTACCAAAATTTTTATAGCCAGAAATTTCGTTACTAGAGTAAGTAAATTTTTTTTTATCATACTCAGTTATTAAACGTGTAAAAATATGTTAAGTTTCAGAAGGAATACCAAATTTTACGTTTGTTTCACATATTATATTTACTTCAAAAATTTAATTTTTAAATTTTTACGTAAAATCCTTAATTTGTACGTAAAGTAAATGTAAAAATGTTTTGTAAAATGATATTTTATTTTGCCTCTAATGTATTTATTATATTTTTATTAGTTCTTTTGTATTAATTTGTTATATTTTAATCTCACCATATTTTTCTGAGTACTATTTAAATATAAAATGTATTTCTGCTTTTTCGCTTTTTTTTTTTTTGATTTTTTTTTTGTATAGGTTCATAAGAAAATTTGCATTCCTGCATTATTTCATCGTGCTACCAGCAGCAGTACTGGTGGTGTTGGCGGAGGTGGAGGCGGTGATAGTCGTGGTTCTCATCATCATCACAAACATAAAAATTCATCATCATCAAAAGCATCAAATACGAACGCATCTGATGGGCGTTTATATAAAGCACATTCATGTGGTTCAATCGAACACAATCGTGTTAACCTTAATCCAAATTTAGACCAATTTCAATTAGAAAATTGTAAAAATAATGCAATTAGCAATAATGAAGGTGAAAATTGTGGAAATTTAACAAATCGGCATTCAGTATTATTAAATAATGAAAAAAGTAATAAAATATTAAAAAATTGCTTAGGTTCCCGTTTTTTAAATAGTAGCGATAGTGATATTAACCAAAATACTGATGTTAGTAGTAATTGTTATCTTAATAATGGCGGTAATAATATAAATTATAATAAATTAAAAAATCATTGCAATGAAATACAAACAACTAAATCATTTTTATTATCAATATCACCACATTTTACTAAATTTAAAAATCAACAAAAAAATAATCCCAAGCACCAAAATGAACAAAAAAATAATGATAAAGAACAAGAATATAATATTCAACAAAGCAATTTATATAAATCAACATTATCATCATCATTAATATCACCATCAACAACCGCAACAAGTACAACTACAACACCTACAACTTTAATAACAAATGATTCCAATGAATCACCGACAATAATTACACCGAATACTCAAACCCCTCCATCTCCTCCTCAAGTAGCTTTAATGTCTTCATCAGTATCTTCAACAGTTTCTTCATCAACAACAATAGAAACAAATAATTTATTCCGAAATTCAATTTTAAACAATTCAATGACATCCACGCTGTCAGCACAAAATCAAATCAAAATTAATAATAAATCTAATAATAGCATAAATAATTGTAGTAATAATAGTAGTTGTAGTAATAGTAGTAATAATACTAATAATTTTAATATTAAAAAAAATAATATCAATAGCAATAGTTGTAATAATTTATCGACAACAACAATTAGTAAAATTTCTTCATCAAATTCATCACCCCATCAAATTAATGACGTTCCATTATGTAGTAGCAAATGTTGAGATAGAGATGAAAATTTTTAATTAATTTAAATTTAAATATTTATCATAATAAAATTAAATAAAATACGAAACTAATTATGGTGTTATAAAAAAGATTCATAGAAAAAATTACTATTACATACACAATGTTATTGTAAACAAAAAAAAAAAAAAAAAACAAATTAAATTAAAAATATTAAATTAATAATTAATTATTATTATTTATATAGAATATGTAAAAATCATTGTATAAAATAAGTGATGATTCTTATATGTATTAACAAAAATATTGGATTTGTTACAGTTAAAGTATATATTTTGATGTTTATTAATAAAATAAATGTAATTTTATTTTAATCGTAAATTCTAGATATTGAAATTAATATAAATACCATTATATTTTATTATTTAAAAACAAATTGTATAAAAAATTTCATTTGTCTAAGATGTACAATAGTATGCAATTTGGTGCTGAAATCTGTTTCGTTTTTAGAGTTTATTTATCACTTACAATCTTTCTTAATTTCAAAATATAAATATATGTATAAATTATATTTTCTAGCATACACTTTCTGTAAAAGACTTTCTTTCTATTTTTATTTAGAAACATTAAAGTTTATAATTAAGAAGTTTCTATATAATATAGAATTTATTTTATACTTCATTAATTAAGAGGCATATTAGAACTGTTGATAATCAGTGAAATCTTAATATATTTCTATTGCAATTTTATAAAAATTTAAAATCAACACTTTTAAAAAATGGAACTTCCATTTTATTTAGAATGCATTTAAATAAAATTTAAATGTTGCTTTTTGTACATATTTATATACATACATAAATGTAATTAGAATTTGAATTATTAATGTTAGTAAATATTAATGAAAATAACGCAATATTTACTTTAACTGTAATAAATATCCTAAATCCAATATACAATAAAATTAAAACCTTTATACAAATTTAGTTCGTAGATAGCCCAATTGATTAAATACGTAAAAATAAAAATTATTTATTTGTATTTTTGTTTTAATATTTAATATAATATTTAAAACTGTATCTTTCATTTTACCTTAATTTTTTTTTTTTTTGTGAAATAATTAATATACATATGTATGATTGAAAAAAAATATTGTTTTTTAAATTTAATAAAAAAAATATATGTTTTGTAAAGAATCTCAAAATATATAATGAAGAAATTATAGGAAAAATTTAACATATGTATTTACTGACACATTTTCCAGTTAAAAATTCAAATGTTGCTGTTAATCATAAGAAATAGCTCGTATCAAATACAATATATGAAAAAAATTGAATTTAAAAAAAAAAAACACTTTAAAGGCATTTTTATTTATAGTGCATGTGGAATATAGTCAAGTTCTTTTTATTTATCAGAATACTAAATAGAAACATTGTAGTTATATAATAGATAATGAATATCACTTTCTCGATATCACGTCTTTCACTTAAAATGGGTAAGTCAATTAATTTGAGCCTGTCCTCATAAGGAGAAAGATCGACTCAATCCTATTAATGTAAATGTTGTAAAAGAGTGATCAAACCTGTAAAGCATATTCTAGATGAGATCAAGCCAGAGACGAATACAGGAACTTCAAAATGTAAGGGTCATTAAATTTCATTGACCAGCGTTTAGTGAGTCCTCACATAGAGCTTGCCTTGCTAATCACATAATCGTAGTAATTGACAAATGATAAAAAAAAATACACATTTTTTGCAATAATTTTTTCAAAAATTTATTTATTTTCAAAATTATTAATTATTTCTATTAAAATAAAAATATTAAAAAACAAAATAAAAAAAAATAAATTTTCCAAATACACATAAATTTTTTATATTAAATATTTTTATGTTCGATTATTTTTATTTTAAATAATTTATAAAAATAATGTAAGCAGTTTTATTTTTATTGTATAATTTTTATAGTTTAAACTTTTTATATTCATGAAACGAATTTAAAAATCTAATTCAGTGTATTAATAGATTTTTAAATCCAGGGATATAATAGATTGAATTACATTATGAAATGTAATGAACAAGAAACTTTAGCTTTTATGCTTAATAATTAATTTCTGAGTAGGAGTTTCAAAAAATTACGATGAAGAATTTATGATAGGAAAGTTTACTACGAAACTTGTTTCTTTTTAACTTTTTTGGAGTTTATAAAATTTTTATATGTAAAGTAATGGACAGACAAAATAGAAGTAAATAAAACAAAATCACATTTTTAGAGGTAGAAATTTTAGAGGATATTTTTGATAATAAAGATACAGTTTGTATTTTTAGCTTTAATTTAAATAAGTTTAGAAACAAAAATATGTTTCTTGCAAAAATTTTCAATTTGATATTTTTTGATACAAAATTTACGCAGTGTAGGGAAATTAAAACAATGAAATTGAACAATATAGGCAGAAAAGAGATTTCTATATTTCGAATACACTTTTTTGATAATTATTATTTTAATAATATAAGTTAATTAAATTGATATGCATTTAATTATGAAAAGGAATGTAAATTTAGTAGTAAATTTTAGAACTAAATTATCAAAAATAATTCATGTTAGTTGTGTTAAATTCTTCAGTAATTTGTATTCCAAGTGTAACATATAAATATGTATGTATATGGAATTGAATATAAAAATTGTGAAATTAATTTAATTGAGTAAAAATAAAAATTAAAATTAATAAAGATTTTAATAATATCGTATTCCTTACTTACATACTTCAAATCTTGTTATATTGTTGGTAACGTTTCCAAATGATTTTTTAAATTTTCAATTTGAATGACAATATTCTCAAATTTCTGTTCAATTTTATTATTTCAAAATTTACTCACAGAACAAATTTAATATTAAATATTAAAATAATATTTAAATTTTTTTAATTATTAAATATTAAAGTAATTATTTAGAACAAAATTTATCCTAAATTCAAAAATTTTATTTAAAATTAGTTTAAAAAAACTATTTTATAAAAAAATTTTTACACATCACTTAGAAAAAAAAGAAGAGTTTTTCATTCTATATCCTTTATTAATTACAAGTATAATTACTTAATTAATAATTTCAAATGATTTTTCTTTTTTATTTTTAATAGAAAATATTATTAGCAATTAAAAATATTCTAAAATATTCTAATGATTTTATTCTTAATTGGTAAATTTTTTTTTGTTTTTAATTTTATACATACACATATTTTTTAATATTATTTATGGAATAAAGAAGTTGTAATACAAAAATATATTTTTTTTTTATAAATTTAATAAAGCACCTACCTATTATATTAAATATGTATATGAATAGGACTTTTTTTTAATATATATGTATTTTCTAATAATTATAAAAATAATATCAACAAATTTAGTATTTCTTCTTATTATGCATATTACAAAAATGATACTAAAAAATATATATATAGGTACAAAAATAACATTGCTTTTTGTCAATAATATGCTTATTTTTCAAAAATTTATTGTCTGTCTAATATAAAATACTAACATATTAAAATAATTAATATTATTTTATTATACAATGGAATTTTGATTCAAGCACAATTTCTTGATATCTATTATGAATTTTAACTTATAAATTTTATGAAAAAAAAAAATACAATGTGTATTTATAGTACAAAATTTTTAAATTTTTTGAGTTATTCAATTTAAAATGGCTGAAATTATTTATAATTACATTATTAATTATAAGTATTTAGAAAAAGAGTAATTTAATATTAATAAATTATTTACAAATTAGTTTTATGTTTTTTCTCTTTTTTTTTTTTAATAATTTTTTTTTTATCAAAAAACCTTATAAAATATTACTGAACTAATTTTAATCATTGTTCGAAATTGTTAATTATAATGATGAAAATGAAAATGATAGTATAAAGTAAATGGTCCTAATTTTACATTGTATTGAATGTGTATGTGAAATCATAGAGTAAATAATTCTTGACGCTATATTAAAACTGACGAGTACTATTTCGGCTTATAATGATGGTCAATTCATCATTTGATAAAAGAATACATTTTATATAAAAAAAAATATATGTGACAATTTTTCTCCCATATAAAATATTTTTGGAAAATCTTCAATGTGCGTAATTTTAAATGTAGAAAATAGTTACCATATCTAAGTAAGTATATAATACAAGCTCTTTCTCTTTGAAAAATATTATAAAACAAAGGAAATAAATTTATTTTAAATGAGATGAATTGTGTACAATTTTCTATTATGCATATTACAAACATATAAAATAAATTCTCTCATGTTAAATTTTTTTACTTAATGTTTAATTTTAATTATTATTAAAGGGTTTTGTTATTATTATGTTTAAGCGTGTGTTTTACATTTTAATACTCTACTGAATAACAAAATTAATGCGGACTCCTTAATTTTTCAAATTTGTTATTGAAGAATTCAGTGCAGAATTTTATGTTAAATTAAAATGTGATAACATGTACGCTTGACATAATTTTAATTTCTAATTTTGATTTAGTTTTTTTGTAATAATTAATGTAAAATGTAAAAAATAAACAATACCATTTATGAAATTATCATATTGCATAAACGTATTTATCAATAAATTGCTAAAATTTATTTATAAAATACTTATATATGTAAGTGTACTATTTTATATATCATTGACTCTCGTTTTTATGTAATATATATATATGTACATCATGTAGGCATTACATATGAAATTAAACTTAAAATTTACTTAGTTTGTACATACTTAGAAATTTGAAAACAAAAGAAAGGTGATGGTTCAAAAATCTATTTCAAAATTTTATTCGTTTTGAATATGTATTCAAATTTCGTTTAAATTTTTATTACTCAATATAGTTGAATGTGTTTTACTTTTAAAGACTCCTCAAAGGCTAAATATTGAAAATTAAATTCATTGTTTTCAATGAGATGAATATTTACCTTTTATAAGCTAAAGCAGAATAATTTTTTATCACTTTTTACAAATTAAGACTTAAAATTTGAAGAAAAGCATACACATTTAAGCACATATATGTATAATGTGGGAGGACGAAAATTATCACTTAATGTATGAACGATGTACGTCTGTATAATCAATCATACTTTAAATTTTATTAGAGTTTCAAGTTTAATTTTTAATATTTACAATTTATTGATTCCTTAATAAAAAGAGAGTTGGAAATAATTTTTTACTTTCTTTTATTCTTATGGGTATATGTATGTATAAAAGTATAAAAGATATGTGATAATTTTTTTATTAAATTTTGTCAGCTTTTCCCAAGAAAAATTCTTCTAAAGAAATCAAAAATAAAATCATAAGGAATGAAAGTCAACTCGGCAGACTAAGTATACTTCAATGTAAGCAGTTTTAAAATTCTTAAAATCCAAATATAAATTTATAAAATTTTAAATAATTTTCTTGACTGTTGATTAAATAGTTAAAAATTCTAATATAAATCCTTTGTTTTATCATGCTAAACCTCTTTTCGCTAAATTTTCATGTGCAATTACTTAGATTTTTGTTGTAGTTTTTAAAATTTTCACATTGAGTTCACATTAATACAAAAATATGAAAGCATAAAAGGAAATCATTAATTTTTATATGTATATGTATAGGTGTATATATATACTTAAATCAATTTTCCTTTTGTTCATTAATCCTTTTAAAAATTTTAAAATATACTAAATCTCTCTCTATATATAATATATATTAAAAAATTTTAAACTAACAATCATTTATAGAAGGCATTACTGTTTTGCTTTAAATAATACAAATTACTTTGTGATGATGATCTAAATACATTATTATGATTTCTATATGATGACAAACCATTATTGTTTCTACCAACACTACCATTACCAATGAAACTGTTACGCCTCTCAGGTGATGGTGAATATCGTTTGATAATTCTAAATTGTTGCGGTGAACTTTCTGATACCTGTTTATTTAATTGATATGTTTGTTGATAACTATTTGGATGATTTTGATTTAGATTATAATTTTGATCATCGTCCCGTTGTGGATTATTATATCCCAAACGATGACTATCATCTGATGATTTCCTTCTCATATAACGTTTACGATTTTCTTCAATAAAATAACTGTCATCGTTTTTCCGATACTTTTTCCGGCCCCGTTGCTGTTGTTGATGCTGCTGTGCTTGAGATTGTGATTCTTTTGATTCATATGATGAACGTCTGTCACCAATTGAAAAATTATCTTCAAAATAACTTCGTTTTAAATGTGGTGGTGTTGAAATACGTTTTAAGGGTGGTGGTGGATTTGTTGGTGTACCGGACCATAAATTATCAGCAGCATCTTGACCGAAATAATTTGGTTGGAACTGTGTCATTGAATTTATATTTTGAAATGATGATCTACGCCATCCTTCTTCATAGCGTCGGCGTGTATTTTCATCTTCAATGGCTTGACGGCGTTGTGATTTACTGCTACTACTTTCACTTGAATCTTCACCAGATGTACCGATACCCAAATCTTTGTCATCACCATAAGCTTTATATGGTCCCAAAAATCCTTTTTGACCATATGGTCCTGTTAAAGTGAATGGCGTTTGTGACATGTAATACGGATGAGAAAATTTATTTTCCATTGTTGGTAGTTTCAAGCCACCGATTTTTTTTATTTCATCATCTCTTTCATTATCGGAATCGTCATCATCAATACTTGGACTGCTACAAGAGGCAGGACCGAACAATGATAAAAGTACAGGAAGTAAGAAAAGACCATGCATTGCACCAAAGAAAATAACCAAGAATACCATTTTGAAAAATACTAAAAATATGTAACTTTGGGCAATTAATAATGCTGTAACACCTAATATTGTACTCATAGATCCTTGAACTATAGGTAATCCTAATGAGTATAAAGCTTCCCGAACACGAGCTTTTGGTGTCTTCTTCTTCGATGACATATAACAATAACATATATGTGCTGTAAAATCAACTGAAAATCCAATGCACATAATTAAGTTTATCATTGAAATTGAATCCAAATTGACATCCCACAATGCCATATATCCAGCAACACCTAATTCTATAGAAATTATACTGAATGCAACCCATAAAGAACACAAGAAATTTGGTATGAATATAAATGAAATAAACATCATAATTAAAGCACCGACAACCATTGCTTGTATCGATGTTGGACGTACCAATTCAAATTGATCGAAAAATACAAAATATGGATGAAAAACTGATACATTCAAATGTGATTTACTGCATAATGCTCTTAAATCTTTAACCATTTCTTTTTCATGATTTGTATCACTTATATTGACAGCTTGTATTAAAAATCTTGATGCACGAATTTTTGTACCATCATCAGTAAAATTAACATCTAATGAGAATGGATTTGCCGGGAACAACCAAATTTCTTTTAAAGCATCAATAAAGGATTCTTCTGTATCAATTGAAACATTTAAGTAATCGTTATTACGTTCGACATATGACAAAAATGATCTTAACCATGATTCAGTATATAAAGGTGAAGTAACATATGAAGTATTTTCAAGTTTTTGTGTAAACTCTTCAATTTCTCTTTGTGTATTTGGATCGGAATAATTCAAATCACCTGTTATTATAACCTAAAATATTAAGATTATAAATTAAATAAATTTTTATTAAATTAAAACAAAATTTGATTTAGTTTAGGTACCTGAATCCTATACGGAAATTCTCTGTAATAATCATCTTCACGATCAAAAAATTCAACAGAATATGAATCTTCTCTAGATAATTTTCTCCTTTCTAAACCTTCTTTAATATTTGTTATTCCGTAACAAGCTCCAGCTAAATAACCACCAAATATTAATAAAATTAAAAATTTCATCCAATTATTATTGATGACTTTAGACACTTGATTCTTAAAGAATGCCATTAACATATGTTCTTTATTATCAAGTGGATTATCTGGATCATCACGATTGATACCACCGGAAAATAAGGCTTTGTATAAGAAATTTCTTTTTGCTGAAATTAAATTAAAATTTTTATATTAATTTTTTTTTTGGTATTTAACATTGTTTGAAGTTCAACAGTCTTATGTTCCAAATTTGTTTAATAAAAATTGAAACTATTTTACATCTAATTATATTAGTCTATATCATGTTACATATAGTTTAGAATCAATTGAAAATTCAATTAAACAAATCTTAAGCAAAATTTACATGACATATTTCAATACATTCATATAAGTACACTGTATATTATGTACATGAAAATTGTTAGCAACAAATATGTGGGTCATGTTAATTTTAACAAAATTCTAATTTTTATTATTAGAAAAGGTCAAAAATAATTTTTAAATTTCTGAAGATAACATTGAAATAGGAGAACTTACAAGTTGTGGAAACATAAGTTTTAATATGCTTTTGATTTAAGGATTTATGCGTTTCTACTGCTTTGCAACAGAAAGTTGAAATATATTTAATTAATGAAAAAAGCAACGCACGATGTGGAATAAATATGTAAAATTTTGCTGGAGTATCTCATGTTGCATTTTAGCACTTTTCCAAAAAAATTTTAAAAAGTGCTTATTAGTTTCACTCCGTGCATCCTTCCTTTCGTCCGTGGACATGTTTACAAAGTTCTACACCCTTGAAGATAGAAAGGAGAAGTTTTTTGTACATGGATTTTTACTAGAAACTTATTTCGGTAGAAGACAATTTTTACCTATGCCCTCCATATAAAAGTTATAACCCCTCCAAAAAAGCCAGAAAAGTAGTGGCTGGCTTCTTCTACCGTGGCCTAATATAGTTGAGCTTCAAGAAGAGTAAAATGGCTGTCAAACTTTAACCTTTTTTTCAAATTTTTTATATCGGTTTTCTTCTATTCCTACACCATCTTTTAGATACAAATCCTAGCAGGTTTAAGACACTAATAATTAATTAATTTCGTTAAATGAATACTCTTTTCCTAAATGAATAAATGAAAATGAATACTTCTACCCACTTTCAAGTTATCCCTACTCGAAATTTGTAAAATTTGAATTGTTGGCACCTTATATTTCCAAAACTACAAGCTGTTCCAAATTTTTTAAATGCAGGAGGTTAACGCCATTATGCTGCACTACCACTAAAAAATATAATTATTTTTCTTGACTTACGGAGCTAAATCTTAAATTTGAACATTTTGTTAACGCCTCTTTCATTTTTTTTTCTTGTCTCATCCTAAATGTATGCAATTTTTTGCATAAATGCAAATGCAATATTTTGGTAGATGAATGAAAGGAAGTCAGATTGTTTTTAAAAACAGTATTTTCAATTGTCGAAGGGAAAAGTGCTAATTTACAATCCATTGGTTTGACCCAACTTTATTAAAAATAAATTCATTACTATTAGAATAGATCCTTTTAAAATTCAAATATGGTAGTAAAATCAAATCAAGTTCATAATTAATGAAATCATGTCATATGAATTGACGTTAAAAATTATTCCTGATTTTTAGAACGGCAACTCTAATAACAGTACAAATTTCAAATAATTCTTTTTTTTTTTTCAAATTTCATTTTTGTTTATATACTTTTTTTTGCGTTTATTTTTAAACTTAATTTAATTGAAATTGTTTAAAATATATTGAATCGGATTATTTAATTTTTTTATTATATACAAAATATAAATTGTATCTACATTTAGGTATATGAATGTGCAAAATAACAATAGCAATGGTGTACGTACACGAATAATAAACTCATTAAAAATATCACCTATACTTTAACCTCTTATAATAAAAGCTTCCCAAAAAATTTTATCAAATAACACCGTTGAGTTTTATTTGTGTTTTTAATATACCACTAAATTTTATTTTAAATATGCGTTTATTATGAGATGTTCCAATTTCTCAATAAATTTTTCCTTTTGAACTATGGAGGTATTTTCTAGAGGTCAGATCAACAAACTCAAAGTTATTAATTCAGCTAATATTAAAAATCTTTCTTCGCGTACATATTCAAAGTGTTCTCACTTAAATAAGGTTGTATAATGTTAAATATACCGAAATTTTGAAATATCATAGGGTAGGAAAAATAAAAATGACTTAAGGAATCTCCGCCTGCTCCCAGGCAAAGCCGGACATGTGCGAATGAGGTGAACCACCGTATCCTCCTCGTTACGGCAACTCCTACAGAGATCGTTCTCAGGCCGGCCCATCCTTCTGGCTTGTTCGTCAATAAGACAATGACCCGTTTTGACCCCTATCATAGATCCAATGTCTCTCCGGCGGATACAATGATCCAATGTCTCTCAGTTCGCCCATCTTTGATTGGCCTGCTAAACTACCGCTTTGCGTAGAAGCAGCCTGTACGTACTCGTGGTTGTTGCATATTTTTTCAAACAAATTTAAGGAAAATTAATTTAGGTGGGTTCCTACTTTATTAATAAATCGCTAATTGAGATTAAAATCTTCTTACACAGTTACAAGCATTAGCAACAACCATTTACGTTTTATCAAATTGCATTAGATCGGCTATAACTCCAAAAATTTTCAACAAACAACCAGATAATCTAAAATTGTTGGATGATTAATTTTGCTTGTAGATTCCTGTTGATCAACTGAACTATTTTCCATTGATAATAAAATTAGTTTGAATAATCGCTTGAAATAATATTGGATACAAGCGGAAGTGGTTCTTTAAGTGCCGGAACAACCACAATTTCAATCATAAAATCGTAATTAAAAAGTGCAATATTTTAATCTTATATAAACAAAATATTTATCTAATTAATAAATTTTTATGTGCTATTACAATTTAATTTTATTTTTTTTCGCATCTTTTAAATTTTTAAAAATAGATGCATAAGAAAATTCTATTATTCATTCCATATAAAGACTCTAAACTTAAAGAGTTTATTCTAGAAACTTTTTAATAATAATAATAATAAAAATAATTTTCTTATACTCGTAAGTGTAGGATTAAATTGAAAAATAAATTTTGAACGAATCATAAATTTATTTCAATATAATTGAGTTGACTTCTATAATCTAAACGTATGTACGTCATTCACAACAATATTTTTTCACTTTCATTCATACAAAAATATTTTAGAAATTTATGTAACCCTATTGCGATTTTGGACATGATCATACCAATTTACATAAATATATATTTACAAATAAGCATACAAACTTTATAAATATTATAAGACCTATCTTCATACATAGTGAAAATTTATTATTTTAAAAAAATGTATTAAAATAATAAAAAATGAAGCCTACTGATTGAACCTCATATAATCGAAAACATCATATTTTTTGTTAAGTAAAATTGCAACTTCAATATATGAAGTTTGTCAATCGAAAATCAAAAATATACCCATGAATATCAACTGGTCTAATTGTCTAGATTTTCGAATTTAATTTTCATTAATTATTTTTCATAGTATTCGAAAAATTTAAGTGTTAAAAAAATTAGATACTACTAAATGACATTATAAGTCTCTTTGTGAATGAAATCGGAAACAAAACTTGGTCACAAAAAAAGAAGAAAAATATGAAAATTTATTAGTCTTCTTTGTAAAATTAAAAAGGTTTTCTAATTTCAATTTTACCGATTATGAGTTGATTAAAAAAATGAATAATTTTTCTAAAATAATCAATGGACGGAGTGTCAACCTATATAAAAATTTTATTTCAGCTTCTGAGCATCGAAAAATTTAAGAGATTTTTGAGAGACTTGTTTTAACTAATTTTCAACTGATTGACAGTAATGACTAACAGTTATCTAAATTAGGTTATTACTTTTATTCATAGGTCGAAGAAGCTCTGTGCAGATCCACACCATTTAATCAATAATATTTAGATAATAAGGTTAGTGTGATTCTGACAACTTTAAAGCGCAATCTGTCAAAATTTCATGATAATAAAGTAAATAATTTATTTAAAATACGAAAGCAATACTTCCCATCTTGTCTTCAATATGATCACTTTTTGTTTGTACAAGAATTTAAAAAAAAAAAAAAGAAAATCCGAATGAGAAGGTATTTTTTTTTTTTTGTTAATTTATTATAAATGAAAACAAAATGCCAATGGATTAAACGCCGCTTAGTTATTTAATCCATTCTTATAATATTTAGTGTGGACATACAGTGTATTTACAGTGAAAATTTTATAAATAATATTAGTGTAAGCATACATATGTAGAGAAGTACCTACCTATGGGTTTCTAGAAAGTAAATGAACAAAAAATTCTTTTAAATAAAATTTATTATTATATGTGAAAGAGTGATAACACATAGCACAGAAACACTACTACATTAAGAGACGTTTTGGGTGATTTTTAATCAAATCCACAATTGGATATTTCCTGAACAACAGACGTACAGAATTTGTTTTTTGTTTTTTTTTTGCTGCTTTCAGTTTACTTGTATATTATATTTTGCTTTCATAGAAGTGATATGTATGCGATACTGAAAAATATGATAGGAGTAAATTTTATTTTAAGGAATGTTGGAAAAACACATACCTACATAAGTACTGGCACAAATGAAAAAGAAAAAATTTTAATCAAATTAAATTACATTTGTTATTGTTTTATGAATTTTTCACTGTAAATTAATAATATTGTTTCAATGAAACGTTTAGTTAAAAAATTAGGTTTTGGGCAATTCATTTATAAAACCTACCTATAAAAGGCCATTCAGTTATACTATCAAAAATGTTTTAGTATATACCTGTTTTTTTTCCAAGAAATTTTTCCTCCATTTTGAATTACCAAAATATACATAATTATTCTTTAGCTTATTGACGTATAAAATAAAAATTTTCACCATTACCTATTATCACTAAAATATTATCAATTGTTACTAATGTCACAGTGTCATCGCAACTTGGTTTGTTGAAAATATACTACACGAGTATCTATACACACCCACACTTTGATGTCAATAATTATTTTGACATTAGATTACACTCTTGTGGCAAACACTTTACGTTTAGTAACATATTAACTCTCTTAGTTGCCTTAATTTAACTCAAGTATTTCTAAGGAAGGCAAAAGAATTGACTTTTCTAATATTATTGCCATAGTAATTGTGTCTAGATCATTTGGTCCAATAAAAACATTCTGTGAAAAAATACCTTAGTACTCGTAATGATATTCATCAATCATCACCAAATCACCTATATGTATATATAAAACTTGTTTTATAACTTGTGTTATCACCGGGATTTCTTTACTTCGATTTCTTCAAATCGTGTTTTGGTAAAAAATTTTTTTGTTACCAAGTCAATATACGGATGCGATAACAATGTGTAAATTTGGATTGAATATTTTCTTCGTAAGTGAAATTACTTTAAAAGAGAGTACTAGAGAAAAAAGAACATTACCTTCGAATGAGATAAATTGATGATAAATTGAGAAATACTAAAAGCGCAGTGGAACACTTTAAATAATTGCTTTGTTGCGTAAATTCCGGAACCTTACAATACTCAAATTCAAAATCTCAAATAAAGTGTTCAGAAAATTAAATAAATTAGAAATTAATTAGGTTTTCAACTATATATTTAAATCAAAAAATTGTACAATTAAAATATTAATAACTGTAACACTTTAATATTTCTCAATTTTTTTATTTTTTCAAATTTCTTTAGACTACTATAAGAAAATTTAATTGTCTCTTGTACACTTTGATCCTATTATGTATGATTACTTAAAAATCTGTTGAAATCTTACCAAAAAATAAATATCTGCAACAATAAGTCATTATTTAAGGAAATAAATACTAAAAACGAAATTAAGAAGAAAAAAAAAATTAAAGAGAAAAAGATTTTTCACGGAAAATTAAAGATAATTTCCGCAATCTTTTCTTGCTATGTACTCGCTACTATAAAACGCGATGGTGGGAAGAGTTTAAAAATTACATGAGATATTAACTTAAAAAATAATTTAAAGAGAGTGAAGAGCGAAAACAAAAAAAACACTGAACTGAAAAAGCACAAAATTTTTTTTTTTTGAAAAAAAAAGGTTTTAATTAAATTAAAAGTGAAAATTCACTATCAATTTTGAACGTCAAGGCTATTTAGAATATAAAAATTGAAATGATTGTTTTTTTGATCGTCTTTTAGCACATTAAAATATTTAAAGTGAATTTAATTTGTTTTGCTTTTACTTGGTTTTTTTTTTTGTTTTATTACAAACAATTGTATACAAAATTAAAAGTATGAGAGATTCTTTGAAAATTCAATTTAAGGCAGTCTATATTATGATCATCGTGTGGGATTAATACATAAATTTTTGTTGTTCTATAATAAATTTTGTAAATTATGTACTTAAATAGAACTCATAAATTCTTGTAAAAATCACATTAAAATTTAAATTTCTTTTCTTTATAATATTGGATTTTAAAACAGTAGAATAATAAAGAATTTTTTAGATTTATAAAAAAAAATTTAAAATTTAAAAAAATTTAAAGGGCAAGAACTGTACAAATTATTTTATAATCTGAATTAATGCCATTTATAAATGTGTTTTCGCATATAACCTATGACCTAATCAATGGGTTATTGTAGCAAAATCTAAACATATGTTTAATTGAACTTTAACGTTTTTTTCCCCTAAAGGGATTGCAAAAATACAAAATGGTATTTCGGGACCTAATGTAAAAATTTATGGAAATGGAATTAAAAATAAAACAGAATTTTTGGAATAAACTTATTATACCCATTCATTTCGTTTATTTCGCCTCAAATAATAAAATTTAATAATAAAAATGCCTAAAATAAATAACAATCTTCATAAAACTTTGATGAATTTTATTGGCATTGAATGCAGTAGAATGCTGATAGTTTCGCAGTTGTCAGCTAAATACTTGGAGTTAAAGCTTAATTTGATATGATTGAGTTGACAAGACCACACTTATGGCAATACAAACATTTAAATTACATACGTATATAGGAGAAGTAGCATTGAAACATGGAAATTTCTCAAACAGCTCTTAAAACACACATATTTTTAGAAGATATCCGAATGAAATTGTATTGTATTTTCACGAAAATTCAATAATATGTAAAATAGGAGGCAAGTAAAATAAGTCATTTAGCAGTATTGAAAAATCGTTTCTATCAGTTTCTATCTTGATATTGTCCAAAAATTTGATTAAACCCTTTAAAAATACTAAAAATATTTCTATTATATTTATTTTTAATTAATTGTATAGAAAAAATTATAAATTAAAAATGGTTTTAATGAAATTCTTTGAAACAAGTCAGCGTTTCCTTGACACAACTACATATAATAGTGCACAATCACACATATACAGGTCAGAATCTGGTAAATTTTTTACTTTTTCTCTAAATTTCTTTTTTCATAGTATTATATACCACTAATGACGAATTAACTATTAAGAATAGTTGCTGTAATAAATTTAAAATATTTTGTAATATTTTAAATAACAAAAAATATTAATTTACTTGTTGTTGTATATTTGAACAAACCTACATGATATTATAAAGTTCATACAATAGAAAAATTTATACGTAATGTGAATAAGCGATTATTTAATAATTTGAAAATAGGGTAAAAAAAAAAATTTGCACCTCTGCTTAAATATATTTATAAAAAATAAATAAAAGCAAAATAATTTTAAAACAAAATAATCTTATGTGATAGACCGTGTATGCTCAAATATTTAAAGTGTAAAACTTGATATTCAATTGTCGAATTTAGGACGACAATCGCAATCTGCAAGAAATACAATTTCTTACTTTTGGCGTTTTAAGAAAACGAATTCTTAGTAAGGAATATGACATAAGCAGATGATATTTCCCGCAAATTTACGATAGTCTTATTTTTTTCTACCCTCTTTTGAAAAATCGGGCAAGTGGGAAAGTAATTTAATTTTCTTTATATAACCGAATTCCTACGGAAATTGATTGTCAAAAGATTGAATACGGAGAAAAATTGTCAATTTAAAACAGTTTTCCAAATAGTTTTCACATTTTCATTGATTAAATTACTAATATTAAACTAACATATTTTGATTCATAATATTTTCATAATTTACACCCTAAGTAGGCACTCTAATGAAAAAGAGTCCTCATTTAAGGTGCTACTACCGAAACCAGCCCAAATTATTATTAGATTTTGATTAATTTATATTCCCTACATTTATTTTGGCACTTTATTTCTGAAAAAGGATTTTTAAGCGCCATTAGTATAGTCGCCCTTTAATGTACTCGGTCAATCATAAAATTTAATAAAATTTCTATTTATAATATTTTCTAAACTCTACACGTCATATGCAATTTCATTAATAAATGGTGGGGATAAATACATGACTCAGATCAGAGGTTTGTCATTTATATTATAATATGTATACATATATAAATGTGCAATATTATGTACAAAATTAAAAAAAATAAATTTTAAATTTCATATCTATTATAATTTATGTATCTGCAATATTATAACAGTATTTTAACATATTATAAAATTCTACTACCCTATAGGAATATCTTAGGGGTTAACGTAAATTATAATAGGTAAATTTATTCATCATCATATAATAATATTTTCTAGTGAAATATATAAAAGAATTGTAATAAATGAACACAATCATAATATTATGCACATGTATAAACATATGTAAGTGTGTATAAATATGTTTTGCGCTTTTGAACTATTTTGACATAATATATTATTACCCACATTGTGTTTATTATATGTTCATTATTTCTCAAGTGCAAATAAACTTTTGGTTTATTGTTGTGCTCATAGAGTTAGGGAAATATATGGAATATTATTTTGTAGAAAATTCCAGTGATTTCATTTTGTATGTATGTACATTTTTTTTACTTTAAACGTTTTGTTATTTTGTATATTCATACTTAAATATGAAATCATATTCACAAGAAACAATTACAAACTTTTCAATTTGAGTAAAAGATGGCATAATGACGTATAAATAAGCCCAACATACATACGTACACATGAATTTGTAAAGAGCCATGGCATGGCATGTGATTGTCATCATCATTATAATTGTAATAAAATATTTCTGTTAAAAAAATAAAAACTTAATTGTTTTATACGCGCTCATTAATTTTTTTCATAATTTTATTACAACATTTTAAAATTAAATTTGAAATTTACATATGTCTGTACATATGTATGTATGTATAACTTCAAACAAATGTATTGAGATTTAAAGTGTAAATAAACTTATAAACTCATTTTTTCATTGGAATAGAGCTTTGAAGGTTCAAAGTAAAAAAGGAAAACCAAATCAACTTTTAAATTTTTAAATATTTTAATTAACATTTTCATAAAATACCATTTCTTACTATTAAATAATCTTTCAATTAAAATAGCCAGGTGATTAAAAATATCTTGTTTTTTTTATCGTAATAATTACGATAAAAACAGATTAATAAAAAAACTCCTGTAAGTCATACGAATCACATACGTAAATAAATTGCGAAAATTTATGCCAGAAGACTTCCGCAATCCACTCTATCTGTACGAACTTTCTTCGAAGGGTATAAATTAAAAAGTTGCCGTAGAATTTGTAATGCTGAGAAATATTGGAGTGAGTTATAGACATGTTAAGCGGGTAATGAATCGAAATTAACGATAATAAAATTTAGTGCCAGAACGCTATTAAAATTTGACAATATCGAACGACACTTTTAGTTGCTGCCGTACAATACAAAGATACTGAAATTTCGCGCAAACAAATACAATAATTGGGTCATAATATATTTTCGTTAAAAGAACTAAAATTACATTAGTCTCTATAAAAAATCGCCGTATGTAACTTCAAAAATAATTTTATGACATTTTAAAAAAATGTCAGTGGTTCAAGTTTAGCAAAAATTGTTTCAGTTTGAACTTATATACACGCTTATTTTGAACCTATAAAATAAAATCGAAAACTATAAATTTTATTCTTACCAGCTTTTGATTGACTCATTGACATTACTTTGAATCCTAATAACGCATGACGATTTTGATATTCACGATAACCAGATATTGCCATACATGCAGCAAAAAATGTTATATGCCATACATATGTAAAACAAACAGCAAAACCAGAATATGTACAAAATATTCGAACTGATGGGAATGGACTTATAATACCAATCCAAAATGATATCATATCTGTTACTGATGTTATTGTAATTGATACAGCTGCTTCCGATAACATATGACCCATACGTTCTGGTACTTTTAATTTAACAGATGTACGACGCCATGCCGCTAACATTACAAAAGTATCATCTATTCCAATTCCTATAATAGAAAGTTTGAAAAAATTTAATAAAAAAATTTAATGGAAATTTTAAAATATGCTAATAATGTTAATGTTAAGAACTTGTCAAATTTTTCATTCAAAAATTCTTAGTAAAACATTTAATTCATATTTTCAATTTATTGAAAACTGTAATTAATGACTGGCTTAAATGATTTAATTATTGAAGAGAAAAGTTTCTAAAAATTTGATTTTCCTTGGCAATTTATTAATTTTTGATATATTACAATATTCGATGTTAGTACAGTAAACCATTCACAAAAATATCCAACTACATTTTTCTATTTAATTAACTTCTATATCGATTGGAAATTCACAAATTAGTAGGTATAATTTTCACCTCATACGATCGTCCATAATGGTCTATTTTTAAAATTTGAAAGTGTCTCAATAAACATCGAAAGCAACTTTTGAAATTCTTTTTTCAATAACTTTTATGTATGTATGTATGTATGTACATATATTTGTTGTTAGTTTTCAAGTCGATACATTTAGACAGTTTCCACATCCTCCTTTCTTCTCAAATGTTTTTCGTCCCATTAACTCTCTTTAATTTTGGATAACATAAACTTATTTGAAAATATGTTTTGAATTCAATTAAAAATTTTCATTAAATTTTTTTTTTAAATGAATTTTCGATTTAATTAATGAAGTTATTTTTAAAAAGGTTGCTAAGATTGCTTAAAATTTATTTATTTTGTAAATTGTAATAAAAAAATTAAAAATAAATTTGAGTAATTTAATAATTGCGTAATAATGGTTTAAATATTTTTACGATCTCCAATACCTAGCTCGCAATTCAATCATGTATGAAATATATAATTAAATAATTATATTTTTAATTATATTTTAAATAATTTCTTTTATAATAATTTCGTTTAAAGTTTGTCAGTTTTATAACTCATTAATTTCTCATTTAACTGCTAAATAATTTTACACAACATTAAAAATTTTAATTATGAACCGTTTATAACGAAAATATTTTTATGGGTATCAGTGCATTAATGGGTACAAGTTCCAAATGCATAGCTATTAAATTCAATAATTATGACCAGGTATTATCCCCATACCATGAATTTAAAAAAAAACTACGGTAGGGTAGTTACCTGCCTAGTTAAAAACTCTATGACGCACTAGCCCTATGCTCCTCCTAATAGTGAGGAAAGAAAAAAAACTTATACCCATGCGATTTATGCATAACTATCTTTAATTTTTTGTATTAAAAAGTGTCTGTTAATAAGAAGCAACTTTTATAACAACTGTTTCTTAAAATAATTTGGAATTATTGCATGATACGCAGCAATTATGAACTAAATCAGTTTGTTTTTTTTTCAAGAAAATTTACAAAAATTAATGTCTGTCCTATAAATTTTGGGAGGGAAGTGTAAATAAACTCTTTTTAGCAACCTGTCGATCTGATTTTGATGAAATTTTATATGTAAGTTTATTTCGACTATGGCACGGATTGATCAACTTTTGGGATACATCAGGCCTCGGGAATCGCACTTTTTACCGGGACTGTTTTACATTTTTAATCATTATATATTCAACAGATTTACTTGAAATTTCATATATAAGCTTCGCTCGACTGTCCGCTAAACCTCTTAACTTTTGGAAGAAATCAGGCGTCAGCAACTGGACGTTTACTACGGGCCAAATATACATTTTTGCGTATATAAAGAGAAATAATCAACTGATTTCATTGAAATTTAATATTTAAATTCTTCTCATTAAAACAATGAACATATAAATTTTTTAGAAAGACCAGCTCGGAAACTGATCTGAAGCAATTGTATTTATTTACGATTTATTTTAGTACACAATAACAGTATACAATTATTTTAGTACACATTTACAGAGAGTAAATTGTTAAAATGTACTTAAATATAGAACAAGTAATATATATTAAATAATTCAAATGTTGTAATTTATCGTAAAATCTTAATAATATTATTTAAAATAAAATAAAATAATTATTAATATTAAATTTTATTGTTACAATAATCGGAAGCTTTGACTTTATTTTCCTTTTAAACATCGTCAATGTTCTTAATTTGCATAATTATTCAATAGATCTAATATTGTACATACTTGTATACAATATGTACAAACAAACAAACAAACTTACTTCATAACATTGAACTTGATATGAAATCATTCATAAAATATTGTTGAATACATATTGCTTTATTGAGTGACACCTGATATATTATTCTAATCACCTGTATAATTCAAGTTTCTATTTTATACTTTTTAGTACATATATATATATATATATATTACATATTTATATATTTTGCCACATAAATATTTTAATCATAAAAAAATAATCATACTGTGATTTTGAACTCAACTTCAATTTGATGTCATTCTTTTTTTTCTTATAATTTTACAAAACACACTCTTTTTTAAAATATTTTAATAATTTAACACCTTTTTCAAACAATATTTTAAGTTCAAGGGTACGATGGGTTAAGTTTTATTTAAAAAATTAAATATGAAAATTTTTTTGTGTGTCATAGTATAAAATAAAATATTATTCATTAAATCTTTCCTATTAAAAAATGCCGCTTTTCATTTGATGTATGAATTTTTACAAAATTATTTACGTAAAAAACAAATAATTTAAAAATTTTCTTATAAAAATTACTTTTTTCTTTTTGGCTATAATAAATTGATTTATTGACTAGAATAATTAACAATAAAATTGGAAAATAAATTTTTAAATAGGTAGCATAAATTATTCTTTTCTTACATAGAGAAGAATTTTATCTTATATAAGAAAAATATTATTTTTAAAATGAAAATAAAAAATTACATTAAATTTAGTTAAGCGTATAAAAAGTTTTTTTAAAAAATTAAAAATAATTAAATATAATTTATATGAATTTTGGACGACAACGGTAATAAAACGGCTTAAAATAGCAAGTTTTCAAATATAATTTATTTTAATTTCCCGCCGCTAATCAATAGTTTTTATAAACAAACGCATTTCACTATGGCAATAATTCAAATTTAAATTTCAAAACACTTACATATATTATCCTCTTTTAGCGTTTACACGTATTGAATTGATTTTGTTGGACATCAATGTATTGATATGGAAATTCTAATTTGTTTTAGAAAAAAGTATAAAAATAAGAAACCATTTTAAGAAATATACGCTTGAAATAATGATTAATTCCGCAATTGAAACACACAATTTGTTCAATGACATACACATTCGAATACGCTTATTTGCCAAGACGCATGCAAGCAAAATTCCTTTATACGCATCGCATATTTTGCACACATTTGATTTTTTTAAGTCTTCATATTGTGTGTAACGCTTAATAAAGTAAAACTTTCATAAGTACAAAAATAATTTTTATATAGTTTTGTTACTGTTTCATACAAAGATTTTCGCTTATAAAAACATTTTTGACAATTTTATTGAAAAAAATTTTGATTAACCATCTGGCGCGAAATATAGGAATGATTGATTTTTATTCAATATAGTAATACATCCATCATAATGTTCTTATTGTCATTCTTTCTACAATGTTGATATGAACTGGATATAAAAAGGATAACTGCAAAATATAGATATATATACAAAAAAATCAGCCCGAATGGATTTGCACATCGAATAAAAATAGTGTTAGAGTTATAACGGAATGAAACCATAATCAAAGAAAAACAAAGGTGGCGGTAGAAAAAATTTTTTTGTGAGATTAGTTATCTTTCAAAATTTGACAATTCAATTTTAATATACGCAGACAAGTTGTACACTTAAATAAGTCATTAAAATTAAGTTATCAAGGAATTGATTTCGACGGAAGATATAAATATTTATATAATTAAATAAAGATATAATTAAAAGATCGATAAACTTTGCCAGTTTAAAAAAATATTAATAACTTATTTTCTATAAATAGAAATATGGAATATATGTATACCACAATATCCGAAATTATGGTAAAAAAAACTGAAGAAATTTAATTACAGCTCAATTAAATTCTCAATTTAATTCAATGAAACCAATTAAAAATGAAATTCATCTAATGTGTACAGAAAAAAATCTTCTAAAAAAACCTTTTAGTTAACAAAATTGTAAAAAAAATTTGTTAACAACTTTCAAATAGATAAAATTAATTTCTCATTAAAGTACACCACTTTTTTTTTTAATAAATTTTATAATAAAAAGCGTTCATATTAAATGAACATACTTCACATAATCCGAAAAAAGCAAAAAAATTTTTAATTTCTTTTCTATATATACAATACTTACCAATCATTAAAAATGGTGCTGCCAAATTAATACCAATGAATTCAACACCCAAATACATAGCAAAACCAAATGCTGCCATTGTTGCCATTACTGCTGATATATTACCCATTAAACCCAGCCATGGTTTTGAACGTACAGCATCACCCATCATACATGTTATTACACTAAATAAAGCCATTAAAATAAATGTTGAACTAAAATATGGCACAACTGTTTTTGTATTTTTCTCTAATTCATGATCTAATGTTTTTGACGAGAAATATGCTACCGATATATGCTTGAAATATCCATTTTTTTCTGCTTTACCCATTATATCTAAGAAATGCTCCTCCCATGCAGCACCTCTGTTATAGCGGTACAAAAAAAAAGTTAAAAAGAAATTTATTGAAAACAAGAAAAAAACACTTCAGTAAAATTAAAAATAAAATTTTTTTTTCTTAAATGTTAATTTAAAAAAAAATTAATAATGAAATGTCAATTTTTTTTTATATTCACCTTTCATCTTGTCTTTTGGTGTCAGCTGTAACAAAGTAAATTAATTGAATCGCTGGTACGCTTATTATTGTATTATCTTCGGATACTTTTGTTCCACCAAAATAAACTGGAAATGCATGAGCATCCCATGTAACTGGATTAAACATCACTGGAAATGTTAAATTCAATTCACCAGACTCAATCTGTAGGAGTTCAAACAAAAAAAAAAAAAATATAAATAAGCCTTTAAGAAATGCAGAAATTTTTAAATCAGGAAATAAAATAAAAAAATGGTATATAAGTTTTTCATTCATAATAATTATATTTGATATAGCCATCAAACTTACATCATCCATAATATAATCCAAATTTAATATATCATTTGAGAAACATTCATTCTCCCAGCGGGCACATGCCTCTTTATATGTAAAAGTTTCACCATCATATTTTACCGTTGAATTTTGTATTAAATCATCTAATTTTCTCAAATCTTGGAATACTTCACGTCGTAGCATATTTTCATCACCATCTTGCGTTACAATAATAACACGACCAAAACGACCTGTTAAATAATGAAAGGAAAAAAAAACAAATTTTGAATGTTAAAGTACAAAATTTTTATAACACTTTTTATTTATTATGGTGGCTTTCACACAGTACAATTTTAAACTCGCATCCGTATATACACTTAATACGTTTAAATATTTGAAAGAAAACCAAACACGATTTTGCAAAACTATAATTTTTCAAAATTTTAATTTAAATTTTAATTAAATTTAAAGCTAGGCTGTTGATTTGAGAATACAATATTAAAGATCATATACTTTCTAGTTAGAAAGTAGAACTAGAATGAAACCAAAGAAATACCACTTTCTAGACAATTCAATTGCGTTGTACCAATCCAGTTACACATTCAAATAGAAAATCTTTATTTTATCATATGAACTTCTGATATTATAGAACACAATTTATATTCTATTCAGTTATACGTCAAGCGCATACAAGATATGTGTGGTCGCAGTGCACCTTATTGTCTACTATTGACTAATATTGTTTACTTTATTTCTGCTCATTTCGAACAGACGTTTGCCAAGTTGCGTATAATATTCACATTTACACCATAAACAAGAGCGGTTTTACAAATCTACAAGTCTGAAATCTACCGGCACCCGTAATGTGAACCAAATAAGTATTTTCAAAAAGGTTACTATAAATACAAAAGAATTGTATAATCACTGTTGGGAGTTGGGAGACATTCTTACTAAATGCGATTTCACACCTATAGTACATGGAGGTTTGATTGAAAAGATTTATTAATCCTTATAAATAGTTTTAATAATTGAAAAAGGTAATAAAGTTTTTATTCAAAAAAAAATCTTCCATTTATAATTTTCTCATAACTACTCCCACAATAGCTTGTAAATTACATTTACTTCGAACAAGTGAAAACACGAAAATTACATGAGGGGCTCAGAAACAGAATGGCGTAATGTGGGTTATGCCACTTTGCTTTTGAAAAATCAAAAAATTTTTACAAAATCAGAAAATTCTTGCAAAAGCAAAAGTACTTTTGTGAAAAATAAATAGGAAAAAAGCTATTTCGAAACTGGAAACTAATATTACTGATTTTAGAAGATGTACATAACCGATTGCAGCAAAAAAAAAATTTTTTTTTTATTTGTGGCTTACCCCACTCTACTTCTGAGACTCTCATATAATATAGTAATATTTGCATACTTTTAGGTGTATGGAAAATAAAAAGAAGCGTTAATATAATAATCGAGTTCGACGGCTAATTAGTTGATTTGAGATAAATAATTATTACACGTTTTGATGACAAGATGTACACCATTAGCTTTTCAACTTCGTAGAAATTATGAACTGAAAATTTTGCCAACTTTGAGAGACAGCTTGTGAAGGATTAGAGCTGGAAACATTTTTTTTCGACAAACACGATTTAAATACACGATTTAAGTATTAATTTCTGCAAACTAAACTAAAATCTTTTACAGCTTACCGTCCAAAATAGAAACTACTGTGAGCTTTTACTACTCCTTTAATCTTGTTTCAGACAATTCATTTATTGTATAGAAAATAAAATTATAATTTCAACTTATTTGTAAAATTAATCTAAAGTCTTAATAATTAACTATGTTGCATAATCGATATTTGCCCTAATTTTTGTTTTTCTTTACTTAAAAGTTTCTTTGCTCGATTTTAAATCTTTTTTTGTTTTTCTTTTCCTGTTACTTATTTTTCTTTTATACACATTTACTGTTTAAACACACGCTTCATATTTATCAATAATTTTTTTCTCCCCAAATAAAACCTAAAATGTTGACTTTGCCTATAGATGAAAAGAAAAAGAAATAACCAACCCATTAAATATGATATAATCAAAAAAAAAACTTTCAAAGTACATAAACTCACTCATTGTTAAGTGCAATTCGAAAATAAATTATCGCATAGTACCAATAATTTATTATATAATTGATTTACACATTGATGACTGAATGTGGCGTTAAAAATCCCTATGTACACATACAATTGTTATAATATAAATCGATTTCATGATATTTTTATATATACATACATCTTGATTAAGTAGAAAAACGATCGTTTTCTTTTCTTAATTTTTTCCATTAATTACCAACGAAGTTCACAATCATGCTCGTATATACCGTTATAACATGTTAAACGATAAATACTTTATTACCTCAAACTTGTCTTCAATAAATTAAACTAAAGTACCTCAAACGTAACAATTTTTATTTTACTTTATATTGTTGCAAATATTTATAACGTATCCATACAATAACGCGTTATATGACAGCACTACACTAAAATTCCCTATTCCATTTGTAATACTTTAAAATACACTATGAGTAAGATCTTAAATATTTTATTTTTAGCGAGTATGAACTTTTGAATACGCATGAACTCTTAGATATCCCCCAAAGTGCCTTCATTGATTTATGGTGTTCTAAAAAACTTCACAAAGATTTTCATAAGTCAGATTTAGATCTTAGATATTGCCAGTGGCTAAAAATATCTCTTCTGCATTTGTGCGCTATATACTGCATACTACACTTTTCAGTTCACAATCATAGAGCTATGCTATATCATAATTTTGTAAAATGATGTCTTGTCTCGAATACATTTAAAAGAACTCAAAAAATAAATATTGTCAATCTGAGTATATTCCAGAGTTGAGCCGATCAAATTATATGTAAGCGTTAATTGAGATTAAAACTCTTTATTTTTTTTTTATTTTACATTTACTACTGTCTTTTTATGGCATACCTTGAATTTTAACTTTACAAAATAAATCTAGGTTTATAATATTAAACAGTCAAAGATACAAAACAAAATTTAATGGTGTACAATAGAATTAACGTTAATAACAAATTTAACAGGTGGTATAAAATGGTTAATATCAATGGGATGGCATATTATTCAATTTTTTTTAAGAAATAAATTAATTAAATTATACATTTTTATTAAAAGATGAACTGATCTATTGATTATGATGATTGGCAAAATTTAAAAAGCAAATATATATATATAGAAAAAATTTAAATTCAAATAGAAATGATTTAAATGTTACTCAATGGGAAGAAAGAGGCGGTTATTCTCAAAGTACCATTTTCTTCTTTTTCTATTTTGAACACAATTGGTACGAAATTATTATGGCGGCTAATTAACATCTTAAAAGAAATTTTATTTTAGAATATTAATAAAGAAAATTAACGTTTTTGTCACTTTTCCGTTTCTTTTTTTTTCTTTCTTATGAATTAAAAATTGACGTGAATTGATATAATTCAAGATCAGTTTAAACAAAAGTGTTGGCTTTATAGCATCTTTAAATATATTTATAATAATATTTATAATAAAAAATTAGGTGAGCCTGAATTCGTTAATAATTGACTTTAAATGTTACATTTACCGTCGTTGCAGTCAAATACGTGTAATAAGAAAATTGTTAGGTATATGGTAGGACACAGCTGTTCTCCCAGTTAATTTGACAGTAACCGTATTCTTTTTTAACCTAAGAGGGTTTCACAACAGAGTATATCATGTTTTATCTGTTTTATCAATTGCATAAATTTTTTGTTTATGGGATAAAAGAAAAAAACTTGAATCAGTGCTCAATCCTAAGACGTTTTCTTCCCTTTTCTTATTAATAGCATAATAAGTGTTTCAGTCTTTTCTTATACTTTTGCTTGTACTTGGGTCATATTTGTTTACAATGTTTTAAATTCTTCGTCAATTTCCAGATAAAATCTGTCAAAATTCATCTTTCTAAATGATCTAATTATTATGCAATCAATAATTTTATATAAATCCTCACTTTTTTGGACGCATTTTGTATGAGAGTTCGATATTTTTGAATTTGAAAACATTATTTATTTTTAAACAATATTTAATTGCAAATATTGAATCAACATTGTTTATATTCGTATATACATACATACAAACATTTATAACGATCTGATCTGCACACAAAAAATGAACATGCATAAGAGAATTGAAATAAAACAACAATAGTTTTGACACCTTTAATCCATTAAAGATTGAAGAAATATTTGGCAAATAAATAAATGAAATGAAAACAATCTTAAACGGAACTAAAAAAAAGTTTTTTAGACCAAATTTACAAACTTTCAAAAATAAAACAAAATACTAAAATGAACTTTAAAATAAATTGTTGAGAAACTTTTATTGCAGCAACATTTGACTCATAACGACGTTACATTAAATATAAAAAGTTTATTCAGTGTTTTTTTTTTAATTACTGCGTGATTGAAAACGAAAAATTCAAAAAAATATTTTGCAAAATCTGCAACAAATTTTCAATTTCAAAAATAAAATTCAAGAAAAATAAAAACTAATAAGATTTTTTAGTATTAATTTTATGTATTCGAGTACCAAGCACCAAATACGGAAAATACGGGATATTTGCTATGAGCACATGGTATAAAAATAACATAAGATATACACTACGTATTACCGTTAATGTCAAATTCAGAGTTAATACAAAGTGTGTGAAAAAATGTTGACTTTTTAACCAGTTTTCAATTAAAAAAATTTTTTTCTCAATATTTTGAAGTTATTTATACATAGAAAAAAGAAAAAATTGGTGCAATATTTTCTTGTTATACTACTGTACCATGTCATCAAATATGTACAATGTAGGTATACAATTAACGTATGTACAAATGTTTAATTGTGAGTATGTTTGCTTGAAAAACGAGGAAATATTAATATTCAATTTTATTGATAATAATCAATACATTGAGGCTATTACCAATATCGGAACAAAATTAAAAAATATTTCGTTTTGTGCTAATTGTGTTTTTTTTAATAGCAAAAGTAATTATAAAATAATAGCTAAAATTATTTTTCTACAACTCTACAAAAATTCACAAATTGTTAGTGATATTTATATTTTGACTTTCCGTCCGATATCTTCGGTCCAAATTAAGGAAAATTCAAATTTTTGCTTTTACGATAATAAAAAATTGCCTAAAATTTTGTAGATAAACTGATTTATCTATAAAT